TGGCCATGGCGAGAGGGCGGGTGCTGCGGTTGCAACAGGAGATGGCCCCAGCGGGTGTCAGCCTGTGGTGCTGCAGGTGACTTGGCCCATGATCCCCCTCTTGGAGGGGGACGCTCTGCACAGCCGGACAGGCCAGGAAAAGCTCCTTGCCAGCCCCCCGGGCATGGGCAGCGCTGCACTTGATCGCCGTGGGACGCAGAGGGAGCCCCCAGCTGGGCACGAGGGGCGCTCCGCAGCCTGGCGTTGCTCCTCGCCCAGCTCACTCACCCGCTGTCTGCCGCTTGGTCAATGGCCATTTCCCGGAGACTTCACGGCCGCTTCCCCTCCCAGGCTCTTTGCCCACAGATAGGCCACATGCTTGTAGGAATTGGCCCCCCCGTGGGCCTTGGCTACCTGTCCAAAGCAAACAGAGCTGAAGGAGCAGCAGCACGGGGCTCCTTGGCTCCGCAGCGCAGCCTGCTGCGGAGTCCCCTCGCCACGTAGAGCCTCCTCGTGGGGGGAGGGCGGGGCCTCCTCAGCGCCGCTCAGCCCAGAGGGCGGAGACGTGAACCCCACCGTGCAGTGCTGCACCCTGGCCCACGCGCCTCCTTCACCCCACACTGGGCGTACGCAGGCTCGGACAGCGCCGTGAGTCCTGGGACCCACCGATCCATGGCCTGCGCTCACTGCCCCAGAGCTAGTTACCCTGTACGCTTCCTCCCACATGCCATTCACTCTGTACATGTTCACGGTGGCCTTCCAGTCCTTGGCCTCCAGGTAGTGGTACTCAGCCTCCTGCCAGCGGCGCTCTGTCTCCAGCTCCTGAAACGGGAGGTCGTGGTAAGAACGAGCCAGGAGCCCTGCCCCGGGCGGCCGAGCTGCGCCCATTGACAAAGCTTTTACCTTGCCCAGGTGCAGGTGTGTGTCACTCAGCAGGTCCCTGTGGTATTTTGCTACCAGGCGAATCATCTCATCGTACATCTTACACTTCTTGTACATGGTGATGGCCAGGTCAGGCTCCTCCACGGTGACATAGAGCCTGAGAACACAAGCATGGAAACGCTGCGACCATCCCTGGGCCAGGCCTAGACACGGGCGCAGCCTGTACCACCGGTGGGCCAGCCCTGGACACACGTGCAGCCTGTACCACCGGTGGGTCAGCCCTAGAC